CTATTCTATTCTATTCTATTCTATTCTATTCTATTCTATTCTATTCTCAGTAAAGATTCTATTCTATTCTATACAAAGATTCTATTCTATTCTATTATTTTTATTTCTTAAAAAAAGGGATTTTAATTTTCTGAATGTTAGGAGAATTCGGAAACATAATCCCGCAGACACGTCAAAATACTGTAATGGTGCTGTTGCGCAGTTTTATTTTCCTTTAATCATGAAGCCTGCCTGGAGATGATGTGGCAAAGGGGTGTTAAATATTAAAAATCATGAATTCAAATTTGAATGCTTCATTTCCACCGTTCACTTCCATTACTCATTGGATTAGAGGTGTTGGCTGTCCTCAGTTGTTTGACTAGCATTTGGCAGAAAATATTAAAGTTTCATATGTCAATTGTCAGATACAAAATATATACAAAAATCGTTGAATTCTAAATAGCATTGATTCCAAAGGTGCAACTGAAAAGCAAAAAACTGCATGCCAAATATTAGAAACCATGAAATTCTAAATACTATTGCATGCCAATTATTGAACATAAAATACCATCATATGCCAATTATTTAAATATTGCGAATACAAAAATACAGGCCTATAATCAAAGAATGTTAATTCCTTACTTTGTGGAAGGGCAGGTCCAAATCCCCACAACTATTAAATCACAAAAGGTGATCTTAATTGTTATTTATCAAATTTGGAGACAGCCCTTTTCCCTCACAGAGTGATTTTGAGTGGTGTGCAATTAAGAACTTGGTTTAGTCACAGATTTGCAAGATTCTGTTAATGTAGCTGTACATTATGATGGAGAATTAGCAGAGTCGGAAAGGATCTTGGAGATCTTCTAGTCCAGGGGTCGCCAACCTTTTGGACCTCAGGGACCACCACCAAACTCATCATTTTAAATCCCACAGACCAAAGACCCTGGGAAAAATAATAATAATAAAAAATCTGCAGGAAAATTCCCCATTCCGTTTTCCTATTGATCGATCATTCTTTATTTGGGATCACAGGATACCGTCTCCATCTCCGTTCTCAGGGGGAGAGAGAGAGAGACTTTTGGCTTTATGCAAGGAAAGCAGCAGAAGCTGCAGAAGTCTTTCTTTCTCTCCCCCAAACTCCACCAGAAATGAATCTTTGCCAGCGCAGCCTCTTGGAGCAGGAGGCCTTGCAGGGTCCCAAAGACTCATTTCTAGCAAAGTTTGGGGGAAAGAAAAGATTTTTCTATAAGGTTTCCTGCCTGAGCAGGGGGTTGGACTAGAAGATCTCCAAGGCCCCTTCCAACTCTGTTATTCCGGTTGGTCTGTGGCAGTGCTATTGCTAGTAGCGTGCCCTGTTTGTGTTGGTGAGAGTGTTCTTAGTGATTCGTTGGGTTACAACCCTGAGCTCAAGGAATCCCAGATATTCTCTTCTCTAGGTAACACCCCGAGATTAGATTGTGGCGGTTTGCCAAAAATTCTGGGACTTTTGAAGTCCACCAGTCTTAAAAGTTGCCAAGTTTGAACACCCAGACAGGAGAGGATGGTTTAATTGTGGTGCTCTCTGAGCTTGTTTTGTTTCCTTGCGGATGTTTCCTGACCCAAACTAGGTAACATCATCAGTATTGGAAGGGAGTGGGGTTTGTGGAGAGAAAGAGAAAAAGGAGGAGGACTCTGGTTAGATATAAAAGCTTGCAAATCCCACTCCCTTCTAGCACTGAAGATGTTACCTATTTGGGTCATGAAATGTCTGTAAGAAAACCATCAAGCTCAGAGAACACCAAAACCCCAGTCCTCCCCACTCTTCCTCTCTGCAAACCCCACTCCCTTCTAGCACTGATGATGTCACCTAGTTGGTCATGAAATGTCTGCAAGAGAACGACCAAGCTCAGGGTACCAAGGAATCATCTTAATCACCTTCTCCTCCTCCTCTCCACATACCCCCCTCTCCTTCTAGCACTGATAATGTTATCTAGTTGGGTCATGAAATGTCTGCAAGAAGACAGTCAAGCTCAGAGAGCACCAAGGACCCCACAATACTTCTCTTCTCCTCTTCTCCCTCCTCCTGCTCCTCCTCTCCCTCCTCCTCCTCTCCCCAGAAACCTTCTAGCACCTAGTTGGGTCATGAAATGTCTGCAAGAGAACAACCAAGCTCAGAGTACCAATCATCTTAATCATCTTCTCCTCCTCCTCCTCCTCTCCACATACCCCACCCCCTTCCAGCACTTATGATATTACCTAGTTGGGTCATGAAACGTCTTTAAGAAAACTAACAGGCTCAGAGAGCACCAAGGACGCCCACAGTCCCCCTCCTCCTCTTCCCTCTCCAGAAACTTCACTCCCTTCTCAATTAACCCTGAGCTACAAAGATTCTCTTCTATGGTTTTAATTGGTTTTCTGGCATATGCCAGAAGGCTCGACTAGATGACTCTTTGGGGGGGTCCCTTCGAACTCTATAGTCCCCTTCTGCAAAAAAATACAGAGCGGCTAGGAATTTCTATCGATTTGCATTTTTTTCATGCGGCCCAGACTTTGCAACCTTCCGGGCCAAGAAGTTCACCTTGGAACTGCATCCCCCAGAATGCCGCGCGACGCGCCTCTTTCGCGCACGCTCCCCGCTTTGCCGCGGTGCATTCCGGGAGCCGTGGTTCAACATCCCCCATGGAAAGTTTCCTAGTACACATACATTGCTTGGACCAGAGAGCGGGAGAAAGAAAAGTTTCTGCTCCGCCCTTGTGGGCCGGACTGTTGCCTGGGGCAACGGCTCCATGACCAACCGGCGCGCGGCGGCGAGCCGCGGCGGGCCAATGGCGCGCGCCGGTGGGCGGAGCTGAAGTCTCCTTGGGCCCCCGTGCCGAGGCCTAGTTCAGTTTGACCCGGCCTCGGGCGCCATGGGCGGCGGTGAGAGCGTTCCCCGGAGGGTCACCTTCGAGGCGGACGAAAACGACAACATCACGGTGGTGAAGGGCATCCGGGTGAGGCTGGGGGCGAGTCTCGGCTTAGTCGGGGGAGCCTTCCTTCTTG